CTTGCGTTTCAGTGGAAGCGGATTGTGCAGCATTTCGTTGCTTAGAAGCCGCAGGGCTTGCCTGTTGCGTACTCGCTTCCATTGAATTCAGTTTATCTTTTAACTTCTGATCGGCTTTTGCGGTTAACCGGTCCAACTGCTGAGCCAGAATAAGCAAGCACTTAACAAGTAGGATGGTGAAGCATGCAGTACATCACTAAAGTGCATCTCAACGATATTTCGCTCCCGTGCCTTTTACTGGGACACCTTTGTACGTTCCACACAGTAAGACGAAGCCAGACAGATTTTAACCACACGATGATATTCTCCTAACTCACAAATGACTTTCGCTCAGAGCCCTTTAGTTGTGGCGTTTCTGCCGCGCAACATGGTGTCGTTACCTGACACAGTGAGTTGGTTAACGTTTTATAACTTTCCGACTTTAAGAGCGGTGCACTTTGGCCAGGCGAGCATAGCGATTGCATTGTCAAATGAGCGGTCGGCGTGGTCGCGCGGTGCGTGTGATGGGTTATGCGGGTGCACTGGCTGATATGGTTAAAAGAATGGAGAAGGAATGGAGCACTCCAACAGAATCTGAATACAGCGCTGAACACAGCTTGAGAGATCAAAACTTATTTCACTGCTGTATTGAGAAACACCAAATCGGAAGAAACTTAGGCTTTTCGGCCTTTCTCGAGAATTCGGTATCGAATATTGTCACACGGAAAGGCAATCCGCTCAATGTGCTTGAGGTGACCGCTTGCGCGTAATCACGGATGTCAGTGAAGCGGATTAGTGATGTCCCGGACTATAACCGTAAACCAGATTGACACGTGTGATGGATCACGGTGTAGGGCGGCTAAATCCATTTCGAATGTGCTGACGGTGACAACGCTGTAAGAAGATGAAGAGAGGATAGAGGAGAATAATGCAAATGAACCAGGAGGATGCACGTCACGCGTCTATGGGGATAACCTGGGTCGCAGTTTTTTTCCTTTTTAAAGTGCTTGACTCTTAGGTATTGAGGCAAGATAGCTGAGGTGCTTTCACCCTCTAGCTAATGTGTAAACTGACTTCAAGCACACTTGCAAGTTATCTTACTTTCCTCTGGTTTCCAGATGCAGCATTGTTGTCCGTGTAGCTGCCTTTGTTCGTTGCCTTTCTTTCCGAGATTTCCACGTATTCCTTGATCAGCAACCGAGGAAACTGCCAGAGATTTGACCTCAAGGCTTTGACAATATACAATATTATTTTATCTGAAATTGGATAGGTAATTATTCCGCTATTTTATCATTTGCAGTATGAACAAGTTAGTTGCTCGTTATCTTAGTGGGATGCCATTATCTTGCGGCCTGAACACTTAGGTGCAGCTCTCCACTTCTAATACTTATGACCCGGGAAGTTCTCGCTGACATTCAATGTCAACTAGAACATTGCGTCTTACTTCAAAGGGCAGAGTTTCCTGCCATCGCCATGTCTAAATTTGGAAATATCGCAAAGCTAGGCTACGTACACAATGATCATTTTCATTACTGCATAAATACCTTTCGCTTACAAGACACCAGGAACAGTTCACAGTAATTTTACCGTCCACTCGGTCGTTGATGCTTGTGTTTACAGTTAATACGACGGACCACGGGAGGAATTCCCGCGCGTTATTTCGGAGAAGTTGCTACACTTTTCTTCGTGAACAACTGAGTACCGCCATTATGGTGTTCAAAAAATGCCTTGGCGGTTTTACGGACGACATATACAAAACATACAAAGGAGGTTCAAATCTTCACTTGCCTACCGAATGAGCGGTGCCATTCCAACAAGACGTGACAGGACCCATGGACGAAACAGTCCATGGCTCATCATTCATCAATCTGAAGAAAGCACGTATGTATCCTGACCGCCGCTAACAGAATCAATAAGCGGTCAAGCAGATGCATTGCCAACTATTGTTTGTCCCTCAAATGGATCGATGGTAGTGTTCCAGCACTTTGGGAGCTTTTGCCTGGTAAGCATTCACCATATAAAATGCCACAGATGTCCGTTTAACCACACTGCAGCGCGGCGAATTTGACTGACCACCGAAAAAAAGTCACAGCCATCACCTCACACTGGCAAGTTCACTAGGATCATATGTCACCATTTTTGAGACACCTCGACACGCTGCTATCTACGTATTCCGTCGCCACGTCACTTGCTGCGCATTCACTGTTGTTCTAGGCGCCACACTCACACGAACCCAGGGTATCGTGTAATCACGGTTTATCCTGCTCTTCACAGTTATTTTATAACTGCTAAGCGCTTGTTCTTGATCTATCCGTACCTGCATTTTGATTGCACTTTGTGGCAGACTGAGTATGCCAAGACGTACTTGACTGAACACGCAACCCTATATTTCTTCATTTTTACTGTCCCATTAGCACAGGTTTAACCATGTACTTCTGAATACTCTTGGGCTGTCACTGTTACAATTGCCAGAATAGGTCTGTAAACCTGTGCTTATTTGTTCATGACTCTGTGGGCAGGCCTCGCATAGTCAGGAATCAATATTACTTTAATTATTTAATTCACAACGTTCCTTTGTAACCTATGAAGTTTGGAGATCTTAACGCGGTGTTGGTTGTAGGCCATGTTGGGTCGATGTCCGAAACATCACAAGGATATCGATTTATTTTAGTCATGTTGGACTGCTTTGCCAGGTGGCGCGAAGCTATACCGATCGCACAGGCTGAAACGGTTACCGCGGTGGCCGCAATTGTGATTCACTCTGGCTGTCGTTCGGGAGTACTAGAAATATTACACTTCGACAGGATTTTCTGTTTTGAGGGTGTAATGATACAAGAAGCTTGCCAGGTGCTTGGGTTGGACAAGCAGAGGACGACCGCAATTTGTACGAACTAATCATTCTCAAACACACTTCAGAAAGCCTTTATAGACCAGAAGGTTACGGAGTCGGATGCCAGGTTGCCAAAGCTGTTTGCTGGCCTACTGAAGTACGACTCGTTCTTCGACAGGACAAACCCCCTAATTTTTGTTTACTAGACAGGAGTCGCGGTTGCCTTCGGATTTACACCTTCCCATGACTCGGCACTTACATCCATCAGTAGTGGAGTAATTAGGTAAATAACTAGACTCAACAGGACAAGGTTGGGTGCATGTAGAAAATGACCAATGGCACCAAAAGGAGTATAATGACAGGAAGAGCTTGAGCCTCCCCCTAAGAGTCGATGAACTTTGGAATATTGAAAAATTGTATTTAGTATGAGTAAAGACTCGAGATTTACATGACCCGTAAGGCAAAAAGAGTTCTGGTGGGGTCTGATGAATGGCCAGGCAACCTTATAGCGGGTTGGACTCGCGTGCTACCGGTACCTTCATCGGGCTTCCGCGACTTTAAGCGGATGCTCGCCGGCTCAAAGCGTGACATCGCTACATCAGACGCCAAAACAAGGCATGCCCGCAGTGTTCCACCGTGAGTGGGTTAGCCCCTACAGAGTGGGGTGCGTGGTGTCGGACGCTACTTGTGTAGTAAAGCGTTGCGATAGTCTCAATAGCCTTCCCATGACGGTACAATTTAATCGTTTCAAGCCATTCCAAAAAGGGGCAAATCCATTAGATTTGAATCTGCCGAACCACCACCTGAAGTAGCCGTTGAACTAGCGGTGCCTGTAGAAGGAAGACACGGTCAGGCCCCTGGACTTTGTCCAATTAGAAGGGATGTGATGAAGACAGCATTCAAACTACTAACGCCTAAACTAAACGGTAACGGTTGAAATAGCGGCGCTTTCTGCTTGTACTTCAGAGCCGCGCAAGCGTGCTGTGACTGGATAGGAGCAAGATGGAGAAGGCGGTTAAACGTAACCTACTTTACGTGTGCTTTCTATTTATATTTGGTCCCATTTACAGCGGCTACGGGTTGCTTAAGGCGCATTCCTGATTCGGTTTGGGTTTCTAGTGTTAATGCCACACGCTGTAATTTTTCTATTGCGGACGGTAGGAGCTCTGCATTATGGTTTATTAAATGGTTCACAGTCATATGCAGTGCATTTATCATGCGGACCAAAATACATCCATCAAAAACATATGCTTTGCATATTTCCATCCATCCAAGCGGAAAAATTAGTTGCGTGCAAACACCAGACTGCCTTCGTATTCAAATGCGCACTGAGCCCTGTAGAATGTAAGAAGTATATAAACTAAGAAAATAAAGGTCAATTTCAAGGATGGAATATTGCAATTTTGAAAAACGGCGAAGTGATCTTCTCTAGCGATCATTTAAATTAGAATTTTAGCGCCACGGACTGGCGGAACGCCAAATATTTTTAGGCCTGATCCTCTCTAGTCTCTCATCGGAATGATGTGCATTTATGTAGCTGAATAGTATTTGTCTTTAATTGGGATTAAGTTTACCCTGAATGATGTGTTGTTCACAATGATGTTATTTTTTCCTTTCCATTTTCCAAGGCAACAAAAATGGTGCCAACGTACATAATCAAACCGTTGTGTGCAACGGGAAGCAGTGTTTATTGTGGTGTATTTTAATTTTTGTTACACATACAAACATGCTTTTTAATGTGTTAATCAACCATGAAAGTCCAATTAAAAATTTCACAAAAGATGAAAACTAATTTCTCGCCAACGGGGCAAACGCATTCACATGTTAGCGCCAACAAGTTTTGCGATCAACTTTCGGCGTTACAAATTAACTTTAAGCATTTGGGTACCAAAATCAGTAAAATGTAATCTATGAAAAGAAATAATCTAGAAACACCCTTAGCAAAATAAATGAATGTAATCAGGCGTGACGATTGCGTTCGGTTTATCATACTGGTTCGTAAATGAGATATCTCTAAAGCTAAAACGTAGCAATAACATGAGTATAAGCTAAAAGGAATCATTGATATGAACAACATTTATCCTGCATCGTACATAAATTGCGCTGGTTCAGCTATAATATATGAAGTATACTGAATTTCCTTTTCTCCGCTGATCGTCCCAAATATGTTTGGCGTACCAAACTACCCATACACATTTTTTCGTTCACAGAAATGTGAGTAGTGTGTTCCTGATGCAGGTGAGCTTAATGATTTTATTGTTACGCCTTTACACCATAAAAAGTGACAAATAATTACACCCGACGCTACATTCTTCACGCTAACCTGCACACCGTTAGAATTTAATTCTCTAGTCGTTTTGTTTGTTGCTTGAAAGCATAATAGATACTGCGCAGTATCCAACTGCACCATACAAATTATTGCCCTTACGAGCGGGTTTTATAGTGATCAGTTTTTGTTAGATCATCGTAAAAGTGGTCGCCTCATTTGCCACTAACGAAAGTGCCGCTGTCATATGACTACATACTGTTGCATGATTTGTTTACGAAAGTAATACCGCTTTATTAAAAGTTTGTACATTTAATTCTTTTTATTACGCATGTTGTAAAGCTCGTATGCCGTAACGATTTAATCGCAACGTTTTGTGGTTTACTACGGATGCATAAGATTAAAGGCACAAGCGCAGTTTAAATACAGTACTCTACTAAGTATATCTACCGCTAGAAATTTCAAGCTGTCAAATTTACTTGACAAAATATCTTTGTTAAATTTACAGTGCTTTGATTTGTACAGATAATGTGCTATGGTTTACTTCCTATGAAACTCCGGACATCTTTGTTTTGGAGTACGTGATTATGAGACCTATCAGCGTTCCGTAAACTCCCAAAGTTAGTACTGTTTATAGCTTTACTAGGCATGCAGCTGTGCAAGCAAACGCTAGTTAAGACTAAACCATGAATGGGCTTCCTTGCCACTAACATATAAATATATAACCGTCATTTCTTTCCAATGCGAAACAAGGGAATCAAAGCAGGAAGTGCATTATTTTTGAAGCCACCTTTTCATAAAACAAACGAGCTGGTTGAATTACATCTTGCAATATAAATTGCTATATGTCTTTAGCGTGTACTGCTGTTGTTGATGATGATAGTTGAGCACGTCCTTACCGGGCTGCACGATTTCATATATTAGTGCTTTGTATTTGATATAAAAAAACTTGTACAGGTTGTATGCCATGAATGTACATCCAACCCACCATAAATTACCCGTGTTTGTATTCCGTAGATAAGTTTATCACTATGTGTGTAACGCTACTACTGAGGCAGCAATATGTTACATAACGCTTAGTGCTGTACTAGAGTTTAATCAGCTTAATTAAATGTGCACAGTTTAGTTCCTCATATTAAACTGGTAGCTAGCAGCTTGAAATTAATCTGCGTAGTGCTAGGCGTCCTCGCGGTAAACTCAGCCCGCGTGCTACTGGTGGTGGTCGCACGGCAGCAAAGCGCTGTTACGGCATGCAACTGACATATTATTATTATTATGGTAGTTGTAACCCAATGGTATTTTATAATTCCTATCTCTGATTATCCCTGGTAGTGCACGAAATACCACAAAACAACTTGTTGATTAAGAGTATTATTTTCTTCATGCGCTTTGGCAACATAACCAAACACCCCATGATATCTGAAGGAAACGAGGGCATTCGCAACCAAATCCAAAGGATGTATTTGTCACTATTCCTGATATTTTAAAGATGCACCAGTTAAACTTTTAAAGGCATAGATTATGAATGCCGGAAAATTTTTTATTCTGTGTTCTATTAGTACAGGTAAGTTACAGTTGATACAACATTTGTTGATATGAACTGTAGCTGGAAAAAGCTGATCACCTTGGCAAATAACAAAATTTATTTTATCTGATACGGGTAATCGGTAGAAGGAGACCCTTGTCTAGCGCAGTTATATGAGAGGAGTGTAGGATGCTTACTCAGAAACTGTCAAAAAGCTTTGAGCGTTGGGCTGAGCAATTTGAAAAGTTGTTAATTATGCTAAAAGTACCGGTTTCACTGTTAACTTATTAGAGCCTTTTGTGGGCCTTTCGTTTGAATCAATTGTCTCGCCTCCAAATCGTACATGTGATCGGACTGGTGAAATTGGACAGCGTTATGGTTCCAGGTAAGTTTCCTACAATTCCATTCAAATTCATGGTCCTGCACCTACAGCTAACTTAAAACTTTGTTAGTTAAACTGTGTGTGTGTGCGGAACAATCTCATTTAATTGGCGCTGCTCCGTCATTAACCACCTTTGTGGAAGATGCTTACGTGTTGAATGTGGCCCTCCTTAAGAGAGTGCAGTTCGCCTCCAAGTTACTTGCCTTTGTCTTACTTAGCTGCGTTAGTAGCACCAGTGAGAGCCAGATTCGTGAATAGCAAGCCAGCTTACGTCATAATCAATGCTGAATCGATCACTGTTGTACTTTCTATTCGTTATTGACGCACCACTACTTATAAGAACGACACGCCGCAATCACTTTCTTCCACACTTAAGATGTCATTGAAATTGTGGATCGAAGTGTTATTTGGAACTGGTTGATTAGTGACGTTCTACTGAAGAAATGCATATACATTATAAGAATGCTGTATATACGTATTTCGGGCAAAGTGTGAGCATGTGGCGATATGTGACTACCACTCAATATTTTCCGCGTAAAAAGACAGGAATACTCGTTGTCGCCTTTGTTTCCTAACTTTGCAATTGAAGACGTCACGGAAACAGCATGCGCTGAAGGACTAAATGGTGCGCATCTTATTCTAAGTAAGTGACCTACTATTCTGCAGTATGCCGACATGAATATTCTCATCCATGACAACACACAAACGTACCAAACAGCATTGGACAGGTTACGATTGACAGTTTGCCGTTTTGGTTGTGCTGTTTCCCTGCATGTGATAAGCATTTCTCCAATATTGTTGAGAGGCGCCACCTGCATTGATCCTTGTTGCGAATTAGCTAGCAGTCGTTTAACTGTTTAACCAACTGTGGAATAAAAAATGGGATCACAAACTCTAAGCAAAAACCCGAGACACTTATGCTAATCTTTGACACTTATGGCGCCGCTGCGGCATCACTGTCGCTCTGAAAGGTGGAGTACACGATATACCCGTCAAGTTAGCTTGTACTACGTTTAGGAAGCCTTGTTCATCAAATTGACTGACTCAAAGAGGTTAGTGGTGTTTGCCCAACGGTACCTTTATAGCATAGCATGCGTCTGGTCGTTACGTTGCGTGAGCACTACTCGTGGTTGGCGCCATGTTTATGGCATAGGAAGAGGATTTAAAACGCTCAGTACCATCTTTTCACGTACGGGACCCTGACGGCCTGGTCAGGTGTTATACTTGTTTGCACATCGACACCTGCGACCAGCGTAGTTTACGCGACTGGGTTTGGATGGAAGAAGCACAAGTGAGGTCAACCGAAGACATGAAATGAAGCATCGTACTTCAAAGATAGCCGCAGTTGCAGCCCGTAGACTGACCGTGTGAGATCTGAAGGACACAGGGCACCTATCCTTGGGTACACTTGTCGTCAAACTAAAGAACCAAACCTAAACAAGGCTGGGTGGGAAGCACCTTTATCTTTATTAGCCACCTAATTCGGCCACGATCTTGACGCCAATATATAATAGAAAACCGCTTAGTAATATTTTTATTTTGCTTCGCTTTCGTCCTTGTCCTTTTTACTACCACCATGGTTGGTTGTTTTGCGTCACAATAGTTCAGGTGTTTCTTACTAATCATTGTCAAAAGAGGTTTTGGACCCAGCTAAATACAGTTTAAATATGTCACTAGATTACGTTCTAACTGAGTATTAATGGTACTAAAATGGTAGGAAACGTTTAACAGATTAAGGAACCGAAACCGCTAAATCCAATATTTAAGAGCACGCATTCAAGTATAAATCTTAATTAGCGAGTAGTCGGCTATGAATAGTGTACACACGGTCAACGCTACAACGCCATATACGCACCAACATATGTAAATCTAAACGGTCCATTTGTAAGCAAGCATCATGCTTAGGGGCTTTTATAAAAAAGAAAATTGGAGTTTGCATCTTTGTACATTGGGTTACGTTTTAGTTGTCCACTAGATTTATGGTATCGTGTTCCGTCTCTTTGTGGGCTCGGTTTCTCGGTACTACGAAACCATATACTATATTACTATTATAAATAAAATTTGAGAGACAATGTGCAACAGTATTTTACCTAAACCTTAATGACTATATTTTCATATTATTTCGCTAAATCCATGCAAGCAATAAAGTTTTATGAAGTGCAGAATAACTCTCAATTTTGGCCAATTTGTACTTTACGATTACGGGCGTTACAGTAAGAATCTGCTGCGTCCTCTCGCCTTGTAACGCATCGTTAAGTTAACGGAAGATAAGGTCATTGAGACCAGAGCATTGGTTACTTCCTGGTTTTAGCAGATATACCACATTCCAAGTGAAATTAAGCAAGTAGCGTTTTGAGGTTCTCCTAAACGCATGGTAATTTTCAGGAGGATTTCAATCTTTAATAGCTTTTGTAACTTGTTTAACTCTTTTGATATTTATCTACTGCTTTGTTTATATCCAGTTTCACATTTGCCATATTTTAATTGCCTTGCGTGCTACGTAGAGATTAAGCACGCTTCGATAAAAATAGGAACTGTGTTGCATATGGCTTTTGCTGTCGGTACACTTTGTTTTATATTTATAACTGCCTGTGTGATCAAAGTTGTGTAAGATAACAGTGGCAACGTTTGATTTTGAAAGTGTCTGTACAATGTCAAGCAACGCATAATATTATCACTGCGGGAAGTCTGACAAAGTGACTCAACAAGCTATGTATTGGCCAGTGTTATTATGCAATTAACTAAAAGGTTTTAAAATGTCAGTTTGCTGCATTTACACCTGACTATTCAGTACAGGACAATAATGAAGTACTAAAATGTTGCTTTTTTCTTTGAAACCGTTATAGCACCGTTTTATATACGTTCGAACACATTATTTTCCTTAATTACTAAATGCATGTTACATTATATTCTAGGTATCAGTGAGAAGTTTACATTGCTTGGCGATATACCGGAACAGTAAAACTTGTTATTTTTAATGGTATTACCATACCGATATGCTATTCTCATTTGCAATTTAAAGACATAATTAAAAGACCGACACTGCATCTTTAGGCTAGTTTAAC